GGCTTAAAACTCCTGCCGAGTACGTGTGTGTTCGTGGCCAAAAGGTGGAAGCAGTCAGTGTGTCCCTTTATGGTTGGCTATGGGTTAAACAAAATGTGGTATATACATACAACGGAATATTACTCAGCCTTGAAAAATATTTCTGAGACTTGCCACAGTATGGATGGGGACATTACGGTAAGTGTAATAAACCAGTCACAAAAGGACAAAACTCACTCCCTCGGGGAGGATGGCCCTGCCACAGTCTGTTCTCCATTCTTTCAGGATTTTAGGTATGCACGCACACACAACCGGTGTGAGTTTTAAGCCGCTGGGTCCAGGACTCGAACCTCAGTCGACTGTGGGTGTCCGGTGACGTAACCATTATGCCATCTACTGGTTCCCAGAGTAGTTCAAATTTGTAGAGAAAAGAAAGTAGAATAGTGATCGCCAAGGGTTGCGGGAGAGGAAAATGAGGAGTGGGTGGGTGATTTTTTCCTTTTTTTTTTTTTTTGGAGAGGTTTTTGCTATAGGGCACATGTGCTTGCTAGAAAAACAGAGACAGAGAGACAGAAAGCGAGAAATCACCCCCCCAGGGAGGATGGCCATGCCGCAATCCCTTCTCCTCCATTCTCCTCTTGAGATCTTGGACATGCACACACATGCACCCGGCGTGAGTTTAAACCACTGGGTCCAGGACTCGAACCGCTGTCAGCTATGTGAGAGTCCAGCGACACAGCCATTGCGCCAACTGCTGGTCCCTCATTTCCGTATTTTAAGATGGAGGAACGTTCTGGAGGTAGTGGTGATGGGTGTATAACAATGTGAATGTATTTAATGCCACTGAACCGCAGAGCTCGACATGCCTAAGTGACTCATTTTTTATGTCATGCGTATTTTTCCCATAATTAAAAATATTATCTATCTTTCAAACATTTGTAAGCCCATCAGGTGGGATTATGGCTACCCCATCATGATTTCCCCGGTGTCTGGGACGCATTCAGGAGATGATCCAGAAATGTTTGTAGAGCCTAAGTACATCTCTGAGTGGTCGGTGACGTACACCAACCTCCTCTGCAGAGGATTTACTGCCGAAGTCGTGTAAACAAACACTGTGGCTTCGCTTTTTTGGTTCTCCGATGTTCTTCTCAAAAGCCTTTTGTCTTCCAAGTCCTTGGCACAGAGAGGGTGTATTTAAACTCTGGTAGAAAGTGTTTTTGCATAAACATAATTATATACTTACGCTTTCCACACAGCCCCCGAGGGAAGCAGACAACCGTGTTATGGGCATCCCGTCCCTCTCAGCTCACAACTCACAGCTCACATCCCGTCTTTGCAACAGGGTGGGCCAGGATAGAAAAAGAAAACAGCCATGATTAAGAAGAACTAGGCGGAAATAGCACCTGGCTGCCACAGTAGCTTCGAAGCTACCGCCTGTTGAAGCAGGCTGCATGGTTACAGGAGAAATGACTGGTGGGAGAGTGAACCTGCTTTGGTCACTTCTTTTTTTTCCTTTTTTTTTTTTTTTTTTTTTTGAGAGGTTTTTGCTATAGGGCGCGTGCACTCGCCAGAGAGACAGAGACAGAGAGACAGAAAGCGAGAAATCACCTCCCAGGGAGGATGGCCACACTGCAATCCCTTCTCCTCCATTCTCCTCTCGGGATCTTGGGCACGCATGCACACGCACCTGGCGTGAGTTTAAGCAACCAGGTCCGGGACTCAAACCATGGTTGGCTACATGGGAGTCCAGCAACATAGATAGACAACTGGATTGTCTAAGGTAGTCTTAGTTTCAAGTAGCGAAGAAAAGGAGTTTTCTGCTTCAGTTGGCAATTGTGTTGCCAAACAAATACCTGAGAGTGACTTATAAAGAACAGAGGTTGGGACCAGCAGTTAGCGTATGGCTATGTCGCTGGACTCCCATGTAGTCAACTGCGGTTTGCATCCCGGACCCGGTGGCTTAAACTCACGCCGGGCGCGTGTGCGTACGTGCCCAGAATCCCGAGAGGAGAATGGAGGAGAAGGGATTGCGGTGTGGCCATCCCCCCTGGGGGGTGATTTCTTGCTTTCTGTCTCTCTGTCTCTCTCTGTCTTTCTGGTGAGCGCACACGCCCTGTAGCAAAATCCTCTCCAAAAAAAAAAAGAACAGAGGTTCATTTTGTTCACAGTTCTTGGGTCTGGGAAGTCCTAGAGCTCAGGGCCAGTGTCTGGCTGGTCTCTGGTGCTAGTCATAATAATATTGAAAGAAGCAGATGCAGAGGCCAGCAGGTGGCATGGTGGTTGGGATGCTGGACTCCCACATGGTCGACTGTGGTTTGAGTCCCAGATGTGGTGGCTTGCTTTCTCACTTTCTCTCTCTGTTCCAATTAAAAAATAACAACTAAAATAATCTTACAATTAGGGACCAGCAGTTAGTGTAATGGCTATGTTGCTGGACTCCCACGTAGTCGACCGTGGTTCAAGAGTTGGACCTGGTGGCTTAAACTCACGCCAGGCGCATGTGCGTGCATGCGCAAGATCCCGAGAGGAGAATGGAGGAGAAGGGATTGTGGTGTGGCCATCCCCCCTGGGGG